TGACAACAACCTCTACGCTGCAGGCCGACTGAAAGCAAAGACCAAGATCTCCCACGTCGAGCTGTGCGAATTGCTTTATGCCGATGATGCAGCCTTCTGTGCCCAGTCGGGCGCTGACCTGCAAGCTATTATGGACAAATTTGCTCAGGCCTGTTCTGATTTTGGCTTTAAAATCAGCATCAAGAAGACAGAAATAGTGAGCACCATAGACATACCAAATAACATCACTGTACACGCTCAAGATTTGAAAAACGTATCTGACTTTGTCTACCTGGGATCTAACATCTCAGCAAACTGCTCCCTGGATCATGAAATCAATCGCCGCCTGGGGAAAGCAAGTACAACCTTTGGTAGGCTCTCTAAACGTGTGTTTGACAACAAGAACCTCACTATCAAGACTAAAGTGAGAGTTTATGAGGCCTGTGTTTTGAGTATTCTTCTTTATGGCGCAGAGTCATGGACCACTTATCGTCGTCAGGAGTTAAAACTCAACAGCTTCCACATGCGGTGCCTTCGCAACATACTTGGCCTACGTTGGCAAGATAAAGTTCGATATGCTGTGATTCTGGATCGCTGTCATGCAAAGCCCCTGACAAGCATCTTAAAACACAGACGCCTCCGTTGGCTTGGCCATGTTTACAGGATGACTGACCAGCGTCTGCCAAAAGTAGCTCTATACGGAGAGTTGAGTGAAGGCTCGCGGAAACGTGGTCGTCCTCTCCTTCGTTGGAAAGACGTAGCCAAAAGGGACCTGATCAATTTTGACATCAACCATAAGAACTTTGAAAACAACTGCCAAGACCGACCGCTCTGGCGGAAAATGATCTACARCGSTCTTGWCCGTGATCACAAATCATATCTCGCTCATCTTGAGCAGAAATCTCTTAAACGATCAGAGAAGAGAAAGCTAAAATGAATTGTCTGAGTCATAGTTCCCTATGTGAACTGAAGACGGCCATAGATGGACCCACCCAAAGAAGATAAAGATACCGTGAGATTTACCATTCCCTTCAAAGACCAACGTTCGGMTGACTTCKTTAAAAAGCAWATYATTGATTTGTCTAACAAAACATCCACTTCCATCCAGCCTGTTTTTGTAAATGACTGTATTGGAAAAGCCTTGAAAGTTAAAGAGATCAAGCCTGAATTAGTTAACAATCAATGTGTAGTTTATGGTTTTCAATGTGACTTGTGCGATGTAAGTTATATAGGTTACACGAAACGACACCTATTTCAGCGCGTTGTTGAACACAAACAGGCCCAATCGTCAATTTACAAACACTTTAAAAAAGATCATGGCATTACACCAGGGGAGTCATTTTCAAGTTTATTTAAAGTTATTTTGAAATGCACGAGCAAATGTAATTGCCTTGTTTACGAGATGTTGTACATACAATCTAAAAAACCATCTCTTTTCATGTTCAATCCAACTCACTGAGGGCCAAACTCTTTGTTTAGACATTTTTATGTAAATTTTGATAAACTGTTATAAAAATCAACTACAGCAAATAAAATATATCACTTGAGAATGAGATCATGTCGATCTCGAAACGTCGTAATTTTTTGTCTTTGTCGTTTATTTTATTAGTTATCTGCATTATAGTTATAATTAATCATTTAAAAAGAATTCTGAACATGTATATAAAAATGTGCAATGTATTTGTCATTTCTTAGCACCAAATAAATACAAACAATCACTTTATCC